GGGGGGGGGCATTGGGGGCGGGCGGGATGTCTGTTACTGCGGGGCCGGGGCCGCGCAGCGCCTCGTAGGTGGTTGAAGAGCTGGGCGGCTTGTGGTGCAGGGTCGCCTCGCCTGCCAGAGTTATCGGTCGACGGTCCAGCACGTCGACCAAAAGTTGGGCAAATCCCTGGCCGGCCCATGCACGCACGCGGCGCGCCAGAGGTCCCAGGCACCCGCCCCCCCGGCTCTGCGTGCACGCGCCACCACTGGCCCCACCTGGTTGTAGTACGTCGGCATCCACGTGAGCAGGATGAACACGCCCCAGTTGTGGCAGAAGTGGCAGACGATGATGGCCCACACCTCCTTGCGCGACAGCAGCTTGCCCCAGGGGATGCTGCGCGGCTTGGAGCCGCTGCTGGTGTTGGCCAGGATGTAGGTCTGTGCGCGCAATGGCATGGAAAGAAGGGGCGGTGGCATGTGTACATCTGTGTCGACCCTGGGTGCATGAACACTTGCGTGCAATGCACGGCAAGCCTCAAGCACCTACACCTGAGACAGCTTGTTCTTATGAACAGCCTTGCCTGCGGTTGCTGGCTGGCACTGCCCCTTTGTGACACAACCACGATGCAGGGACCCCTTCTTGACTGCAAACACGCGGGCGCACCTTCTCCTCCTTTGAAATGTCGGGGTCGTCGCGGGGCGTGCTCGCCGCCAGCACGCGCCACACGCCAAACCACACGATCCCAAAGCTGCCGAAAATGTAGAAGACGCTGGGCCACCCCAGGGCCGCAATCATGTGCGGGGACAGCCCGAGGCCGAGGATGGAGCCGACAAACATGCCCGTGTACACCAGCGCCAGGCTGCGGCTGCGCTCCGGGACAGGGACCCACCTGAGCACGTCGGGGTGGGGGGGGGGCGTGCGAAGAGGCGAGGGCGTGCGAGGAAGGACGTGAGCTGCAAGAAAACATCGGCCTCCCCGCCTCCGCGCAGCAGCTGCGGCCAGGCGCAACGCTTCTGCTAGCCTTCCACCCTTGACATGTCTAGCAGCCCGGTCAACCTCGACCTGCCAGTCAATTGCGTTTATCGGCTAGCAGGGCCGCCCCGCCTAGAGCACCACAGCTGCTGCTGCAGCGGCGGTAGCACCATCGGCAGGGGCAAGAGCAGCAGCGGCAGCACTCACGCACGCCACCCCTCCTCCCTTACTCC